CCTTTAGTCTTTTGAACTAACGGTTTTCTTCTGTCTTTTATCATTCTTCATTGCTTCATGTGGGGAGAGGCCAATAACTGCATCTTAGGTAGCCACTCAAAAGTGCGTAAGACCCCTGTTACTACCAGCGCTGTCTCTGTGGATCACGCCATGCCGGTTGACCCAGAGGATGCTTGAGACTGTGGCCCTCAGTCCTCGGACCTGAAGACTCAGTCTGTGCATATGTTTAGTCACAGCTAAGAAATCTTCATTTCTTTATCCTCAGTGTGTGCTACTAAATACTATCACCCAGAACAAAACCACCTCAAACTCATCACCATGGAGTTGGAGCAGACTCCTAGCTGACCCTCCAGAGGGTTGTCAGAGGCACAGGAGGAGAATGCCTAGCTCCCTCGGAGCTGCTGGTGAATTGGAACTGCAGCGTGGACAGACATAAGTAGAAATTATCCTCTATCAACCTATACATACCCCTGGCTGTGCTCCTGCATGCCAGCCCACTACACAGTCTTCTGTGTATCTACCCTTGTATCCACTTGTACATTGTTGCTTGTTTTTAATGCCATTTCAGGACTGTGTGTGCAATCATTATTTACCATTATTCCTTTAACTCTATGCTCCTCCCAGGGTGCTCCTCTGTCTTGGCTGTGCTGTGCTGACCTCGCCTCATCCTTCACCTAAGTGAATGTGTATCTGCTCTCTAGATGGTGACTGTTCCTCCCTCCCACTCCTATCCCTGACAAACATCAGAGATTTTATTTCCTGTGTGTAAATCTTTTTCTGACTGTTATAGTAATAGCACTGTACAAGATTCATGCTTGTTTCAGTCAGTGTGAGAGCAGAGAAAGAATCTAGGCTCAGGGAAACTGAGAATCCTGCCAGAGTTAGTTCAGAGCAGCAGTGAAGGAGCTAGTTCTTCAGGTGTGGAGCCGGAACCTCCTTCTGCTGTCCTCCAGCTCCGCATCTTTCACTTAAGGGTGCCGCACACACTGCAGTATACCACTTAGACCCCTGAAAGGGCACAGCTCTCCAGAAAAAGCAGCTGGTCAAAGCTCTTTCCACTCAGGAAAGTAACTTGAATCCTTTAAAAAATATTTTCTGAGATCCAAGATG